TAAGGGAAATCATATGTAAAGCGGAGTCAACTGACCTATCCAAATAATACGCGTAAATCAGGTGATTGGAATAACCAAGAAGTGGTATCATGTGATTTAGTATCCATATGCTTCCGCAGTACTAACGATCAAGTATTGCGTGTTACTTTCATTACTCATATCAGTCCTGCCATTTTTTTCATTTTTGAATATTAATAGTGTTTTTTAAATATGATTTGCATGCATGTCAGAGTAAAAAATATCTCAATAGAAAATATTAGATTTATAGTACACGCTATTCCGATAGTATAATCTAGCGATATTTTAAGAATTTATTTGCTCATATTTCAGTGAATTTTGCGCTGCGAAACTAGGAATAAGAATCCAATACTTTGCGTTCTAATATTAGCTAATATAAAATACAATCGAGTGCGAAAGTAGGTAAATAGATTTAAAAATTAAAATATTGTTCTATTAATTTTTTGTTCTTTCTTTCAGTTCGGAAGTCAAAAAACAATACATTTATAATTTTAATTTTAAAAATTATTAATTATTTTTTATCATTCGTTATGAAACTGAAAAGCCAGAAGGTAATTCCTAACACCGCTAGGGAGACTACCAATTTTTCAAAGCGACAGGACATCCAACGGCTATAACAACTCAGACCATTCCTACCAACGAAGTCATACAGAATTTCAACTTAACCAAGAATTTAGTGGCAGAATACAACTAATCGACGGAAAAGATCATTAGAATTAAAGGGAAAGCAAAAGAAGTTGAAACAGTACGTAGACAAAAACGCATCGTGATGACACAGGGTAGTCGCGATGACAGCGACAGTGATTAAATTTATGGCAACATTACGTTCACCTTCGCAACGGAAAACCATTTTAAATATTTTATCTAAATTTATAAACTATAACGTTTTAAAGTTTGCAAAAGAAGCTGCCACCTTCTCTCCTGACAAGTGGTATAAAATTAATTTAATAATATAAAAAAACTTTATTAAATAAATATCATTGCTTGGTCTCAGTTATTATTACATAAAAATAAGACATGAGTTTTGGGTTAATAAACTATAAAGATTATTTCCTAACAAAAAAAGGACGACAGGACGGTCCATACGAACAACAAAAGGCTTTTATGGATAAAACTAAAATCTTCTAACAAAAAAAAGATGACAGGACGGTCCATAGGAACAACAGAAGGTTTTTATGGATGATAATGTTGCCTCCGACCTAAGGCGACATAAAGTTAAAAAATTGGTTCTCATATCCCGGCCGGGTCACCAGAGCGGGAATCTTAAATTTTTATTTTTTTTTTTGTTAACCAATTAAATTGCTCTAAACTATATCACATGATAAATTAAATTTGTACGCATATCTGATATATCGTAATACTATCTGCTATGTAAATGCCTAACATTTAACGAACAATAAAAAAAAAATTTTTTAAAAAACTACAATTAAACATGAGAAATAAACTTGTAATTAACTTGATATATAAAATCTGTCTGACTTTTTATTGAATTGTTATATTAATATAAACGTTACATATGAAATTTTCCGTATTAGTACATGATCGGATGAAAAAAAATTTTATTCTAAAAAAAAAATAAAAGGCCGTGCGGCCGGGTTAAATTGAAGCAAATTTTGATATGAGAACCAATTTTTTAACTTTATATCGCCTAACTGGAATTTTTAAAAAGATGGGTTAAGAGTATTCTATCACCCACTGGCCATAATCCTTGACGCACACCGCGAAAGCAACGTGCGAAGGTTTATGAGGGCTGACCGGATGGCTTTAAAGGGCTGTAAACAGATGACTGGGGCCCATCATACGAGAACCCACCCCAAGGTTGTATCTTTGAAAGTGGAGCCTTGGTTAAGGTACCTGATATAAGTCATCAGATTCAAGTTCACCGTCTTGAAGATATAGTAGTTGGTCTGCCAAGTGTTCTGGAGCCACTCTTGCAAAGGATCTGATGGTCATAATAGAGAATATAGATGGTGGTGAAGGATACCATAATATATATAGTCACTCCTGAATGTATGCTTACCCTTAAGGTAATTGGGTTATGGTGTATGGCTACTTGTCAAAATGGTCACTGTTTACAATACCATTTTGGTGTCCAATCGGACTTAGATAGTAGCGAAGGATACTATATATATAGTCATTCCCGAAACGTATGCTTATCCCTAAGGTAGTTGGGTCATGGTGTACAACCACTTGTCAAAATGGCCACTGTTTACAATACCATTTTGGTATTCACTATTATAGCCTGAAGTGAATGAGCTAGAACTAATATAAGCTTTCAATGTTAATTTATAGGGACCTGTGTGGCGGAAAGAAATGCAACAAAGAGAATTCCAGGACTTCAAGAAATTAAATCAGTTCTAATCTTTTCAGTTTACATTTTTTGTTATTTTATGTTACCACATAATTGGTAACTGACCACCCAACTATAATTGCTGCGAAAATTGCGAAGAACAAGCTTCTTTCTCAATTTCTGTTTCTTTTAAGTATAAATTCTATTATAAATAGAATAGTATAGTAGAAAATGTTTGTATTACAAAAATTCATTTATTTTTGCGTAAAAATTTTAATTCCATTTTAAACACTCAATTTATAACCCCTGGATAATTTGGTATTTTAAATTTTTAAACTTAAAATTATGAGTCTTTTCCCATAAATTGAAATAATTATTTATACTATATCGCAACTATGTTTTTAATTTTAACAAATAACAGATAAATTTTAAACCGTTTATAAATAAAATGTTAATCATCAAATCATTCAAATGTTTACAGTATGTTTAAATAACTTTCAGTGGCTTTCCTCAAGTTTTGTTAGACTTTTTAATCTTCACGTTTTGCATTTCACAATTTTTTTTTTGCTCCTATAGCATAATTGTTTGAATTTTACTCAGACGTTATATAATAAAATACATTGTACGTTAAAAAAAGAATAATTCAAATTCTATAGATGTCATTTACTATTAGCTTATTAGCTATTCAGGGTCAAAATTACGCATTAAGAGCTAACATTAGTTTTGTGCATTGTTCAGGGTCCTCGTATAACGTACTGTACATAAAATATTATAATATGTGAAGTATTGTGTTAGTTGATAGTTTTAAAACGAACGGTTTCAATACTATGTATTTCTATGAATGTACAGTATATATTTTTTTATGAATATTAATAAAGAGATACTTGTTACTAGCAAAGAAAAAGTACTGTTTATAAAGTATCAAAATTATCATGCACAAGCACAAAGATAAAATTCACCATCACATGTTAAACATATAAATAGCTTTAGAAAGGCGAGCCAAATAGGATCATGTCGAACATCCTACCCTTCATAAATTGCTCAATAAGAATTAACATAATATAAATCATCTTAACATTTTAATAGAATAAATTTGATCAATTATAAACTGATTTTCATTATGTAAAAAATAAGTTTACATATCCTCTATAATCAGTGTAGTCATAATTTATAAATCCTTTACTTAACATATTATTAAGATAAATAATAATGAAAATATATTATATTTTTGGTAACTATTGTTCAATATTTAATAATTCTACTGAATTGTTTCATCTGATATTTTCACTTTTCTTGATAAATACAAATATTATCAAAATATGGAATTATCAAACTGGTAAGAATTGGATGATATTTTTATATCGCTATTTATTTACTTATTCTTAATATATATTTATTATTTTATTTATAAAGTTGAGAAATCGCACATAAATCAAGCGAAATTGAATCGAGAGATAAAAATTATTCAGGTTTTGTATTCAAACATTCTCTTAGATATTCATAATATTTTTTCATATTTTTTAACTTATCATTATCCTTTTAGAACACTCTTGGTTGCGTACAAAACAGGTGTTTGATGATAGGAGATAAAGTCAAGTTTGAGCATAAAGGCAAGGACTATGATGCAGTGTTTAAAACCATCAACAATAAGTTACGTTTAGTTTATGTTGATCATGAGTGTATATCCTTTGCTGAGTTTATTCGAAAAGTGACAGATTATACAAAACCGGAACTGGATGAAAACCAATATTCGAAATTGAAAATTAATGATGTATCTTGGAAAGATTTTTGTGAAAAGGTAATATTTATGGAATCTGTAATGTTCATCAAGAATGAGCTATAATATATTCTAAAAGATCTGAACGTGCGAGATATTTACTTTTGTATCGAACCTCCACACTATAATGTCAAAAAACTGTATATCGTGGTGAATAACACTCCGGCAATGAAATTACAAGTGATCGGAGAGATTCAGATCATTTATATTGTGTGGGGAACATTTACAGAAACAATTCCGAGAAATCCTCTCCACAGAAACCATTTCCTTTGGATATTAAGAATAAGTTTGATAATTTCTTAGATTCAACTCTTGGAATCATAATTAGTTTGGGCTGGAAGATATTTAAAAGGGAGTATATTAGATACTAAGATACACCAGCTATTATGGACTTAGAGATGCATTGTTTTGTCAAGAGTATATGGAAATATATACCATATCGGTGAAATGAACGTCGGTAAAAATCAAATGAAGGTAAAAGATTATCGGTGAGACGATTTCGGCGAAATAAATGCGTCCCATATAGATGAAGGTGTAAGTGAAAAACCCGCGCAATTAAGAAATTTCAAATTGATGAAATTTTAAGTGTTATTAAATACTTTTTATTATTATTGATTTATTATAACGTTTGAAATTTGTAATTTTAATTATATATTTAACATTTAACAAATGAGTTTTTTAAAATATATGGTATCCAGAAAATATTTTTATTTTTTTTTATTTTTATTTCTCGGAGTGGTGAGTGACGACGCCCTTATACTATATAACTAATTTATTTTAGGGTTATTAACTTCTAATGTATTACTGTAACCATGCAGTAATGCCTTGACGTCATGTGATGATCACTGGGTTATCACTGGGTTATTTAAATTATTACTGCGCTATATGTTATATACTGTATACTGATCTACCTACTAATTTTAAAAATGAATGATGGACCGGTTCTTGTGACCGTCTTGACTACTAAAAAAGACAATTATGAAATGATTTGTTTCCATTTTGTTTTACAAAAAGCCATGTGTAAAAAAACATTTTGTGTTACATCTAGCTTGCCTATTTGTTTGCCGATCAATAAATATAGGGGTTGTCTTTCTAATTCATGTTTTTTTGACCATAAAATTATTATCATAAAAATAATTTAAATAATGCCGCAGGTCAGTTAAATATATATATGCGTAATGTTAATGTCTCTTTCTATAATATATTGTATATACACTGTACACATAATAAAATTTTATCTTTTATCGATATAATTAATATATGTTATATTATAATGCAGGAAAAGAAACCGCTGGCAATATCCGAGTTATCACAATATTATTTTTATAATTGTGAGAAATTGATACGACTTATATCAGACAAAGGTAACAGTAACAAAGACAATGGTCGGAGTAACAAAGACAAAGGTAATAGTAACAAATTAAAGTATAAGAATAACGGGGAAATAAAAAATTACAAAATGGCAATAAAAAAACGTGGATTAGATTTTGAATTAAAAGTTATAAATGAATTAATAAAGAAAGGAAAGGATGTGATTAATTGTAATGATGATATAATGATTCATGACTTAAAAAATGCTAAGAATGATCAAATATTCTATCAAATGAAGTTCGATGTACCAGATGAATTTTATGATGAAATGAAAATGGATAATATTAAACTAGGAGCTTTTGTGCCAGATTTTATTGAAGTTAAAGAAAGAGATCATGGTAAGAAAGAGATAATTATTTATGATGCTAAGGCTTCAAAAAGTACACATACTTCTCATCAGGTACGATAAAATATGTAGTTGTTTATTAAAAATTAAAGTATAGAATGAATAAAATAAATAACTTTTTTTCTCCTTAATTATAAATAGTTTCAAGTAGCTTCGTATGCGCTTCTTCTTGAATTCATAGTTAAAAAAATTAGTGGACTCTCCATTTCAAATACAGGCGGAATTTTTCTACCATCATCACAATCAAATACACCATTTCAATTAGAAAAATTTCGTTTAGACTTTTTTCTTCCAGAAGTAAAGAAATTTTTTAGAAATAAATTACCAGAAATTATAAACGCAAAAACATCCACTTGGCACTATAATTCAAGATGCAGAACTTGTGATTTTGTAAATGTTTGTAGAAAAGATGCTATAGGTTCTATTTCAATGATTCCTTATTTATCGCTTGTGAAAGCTGAGGATTTGAAAACTTTTATAAGTGATAGAAAATCAGGTAATGATGATGTTGATATTGAAGATGTAGTTGAAGTGATAAAGGAATTAGATATTAGAAGTGATAATTTCAGTTCCAGTGAAAAAGATGTAAATAGAAGAATTAAACATATTGTTAAATATGATAAAAGATTAAAAAGTTCGTCGCCATATCTTAAGGCTAAAGAAACTAACCAAGCACAGGTATAAAAGATTTCTTTCATTATTTATTTATCAAAATAATTTCTTTTTCCTACTAATGAAAAATAAATTCCTTTCTTTAATATAATAAAGTTTATTAAAATTCCAACAGCAAATTTTCCCCGAAAAACGGATCATAATTTGATAATCACAATGTCTTTAGATTATTCTTTATCACGTCCTTTTGCATGGGGAATATGCCTCTATTGTACTATTAGTGGGCGGTTTATAAAGGGTCATAGGCACACTGTATCAATTTCAAAGGATAAATATTCATTAAAGTCATTTATCGAACTAATGAATATTTTTGTGACTAAATTGGAAGAAAGTTTTAAATATTTACAAGAAAATAAGTCAAGAGCTTGTGTCTTTGTCTATTCTGATCAAGAAAAAAAAGTTATTCAAGATGCTTTATTAGAGATCATTTCTATGGATGAGAGTAATATTTCAGGAGAGATTCAGCAAAAAGCTACAAGCTGTTTATTTAATTTATTTGAAGATTCTTCATTATTAGCAACTCAAAACAACGTCGCGGAGTCTTCTACAAAGTTTCCAAATATATCAAAAGAATGGAAAGAATGGAGAGATTTTCCAAGATTGATCATTTTAGAACATGCGATAAGTGAAAATATTGCGATTCATGTACCCGGATTTTACCGATTTATTGATATATGGAACCAACTGGTGAAGCCAACATTAAAAGATGAATATAACTTTAAAGATATTGAGGATATTGAGTTAGAAAATATTTTTGCTTTATGGGTTTCTGGACGTTTAGATCCAAAATTAAATATTATTAATAAACTTCATTCATTAAGAACTAATTTTGTCAATGCTACAATAAGAGCTTATTATAAACTACTTGAAAACTCAACAAATTATATTTCTTCTATATTAATATTTACTCCGCCAATTTTTACCTTAACTAAATTTAAAGAATTTAAACATAATTATTTGGGTAAATTATGTTTTTTTAAACAATTTGAAGCTATAACTGAATGTAACCAAAATAAATATGATAGGATTAGAGATTTTATGCAAGGCGAAGCTGTATATGGAAGTAAACTTAAATTTGAAGAATTTTGTAATTCAGAAACTGCACGATTCACTCTTCTAAGTAATAATGGAAAAGAGTTGGAAAGTAGCTTATACAAGAGTTTTATTCTCGTTGAAGATAATTCTGAAGTAACAAATAATTATTATTTTAAAAAATCTTGATTTTATAAAAATTGCGAACATATTATGATAATATTTTATAATTTTTATCAAAAAATAGGCCGTCTTAAAGGCAATTCAATTTTCAGATATGAAGTATCGAGCGGATTATAGTAAATCTCCTTTATTGCTTGTGGATATTTTTAAAGTTGACGACAGTGACCTACAAAAAAAAATTTATTTGAAAGGAACCTTCTCAACAAATCTTAAGAAAGAGATAAAATATCGTCTTTACAAACGATACTATGATTATAATCTTGATAGAGTTATAGATACGCTTACTACAATGGATAAAAGGAACGAACATGAATCAGTATTTATGGTTAATTCCCTTTTTTTTTTTTTTGTTGTTGTTTGAAATATTTTATGCAGAAAATAAAAAATTAAATCTAATTAAATTACGTTCATTAATTTAGAATCTCTTAAAAGATCCAAATAAGTGGGCACTAACTGAAGAAGTAGAACAATTTAAAAAGATCAAATTACAAATGTCTCCATCACAAGAAGAAATTTCAAAAAAGATATTAGAAAGAAGACTTCAAATTGTTTGGGGACCACCTGTAATTATATTTACATTTTTGCGTATATTTTGTAATTTTATTAACATCTTTTTCTATTTAATAGGGTTCTGGTAAAACACATTTCCTTTCGCTGTTTACCACATGGTACTTAAGTGAATATAAGTGTAAGTTGACAAAGAATTATATAGTTGGTGTAACGGCTTTTACTAGGGCTGCTATCGAAAATTTACTGAATAGAATTTCAACTGTACAAAAACAATACCATAAGACGAGCGATTTTGACATCATTTATTTAACTGATGATTCAAAAAAGAATCACTTTAATGGAATAAAAAAATGTAGAGCACAGAATTTAATGAGTGAAATTGGAATTAACGATAAACCAATTGTGATTGGAGGTACAGTTTGGGATTGGTTTAAAGTAAGAAAGAGTTGGAATTCCGATTGGGTCGGATGTGATATAATGATAATCGACGAAGGTTCTCAGGTACGTTCAAGTACTATTTAAAATTTAAAAATATTATATTCATAATTTAAAATTGAATTAAATTTTCTAAGTTGTTTTTTTAAATACTAGTTATTGGTATCAGATGCTAGCATTGCAATTGAATGTTTGAATCCAAAAACAGGAAAGTTAATTGTTGCCGGAGATCATATGGTAATTACGTAAATTTTATAAACATATCAAATCTGTGTTTAGTGTTTACCCTTTTTTATTCTAAATAGCAATTTGGACCAATTCTTCGAGCCACTTATCCTACATTTCCACTCAATCATCCTCTCATATTTGGGTCAATCCTACAATGTTTAATGCGTAAAGAGAATGGTAACGTTATTCATGAGGAAAATTTAATCTTACGAGAAGGGCAAAAACATAATTTTGGACCTCTTACGGCACAACTTAAAGAAAATTGGAGAATGGTCTGTTTTGTCATAATACTTTTTTTATTTTAATTTTATTTGAATTAATAACATCATTCCTATTTCAGAATGAAAAATTGAATAGTTTTTTTCAAATGATATATGGTAAAGATTATAAAATTTCATCGCTAAAAGAAACAAAATTATTGCCATCATTATTATTTGAAGATCCAGATTCACGAATTCAAAGAATTTTATCACCAGACTCAGCAATTATACTAGTAAAACTTATGGCTAGAAACAAGGGACTAAGAAATAATCCAAGAACATTAGAAGATAAATTTTTACAAACTGAAGTCGAAGTTGTGGAAAAAATTTATATTTCTATAAATAATGTTGAAGAAACCAAGAAGCTATCATTACTTGTAGTAACACCGTCTCATCGACAACGAATTGCAATTCAATTAAAGCTTAAAAGATATCCAAATATTAATTTACAAATAATTGATACAACAGAAAAAATGCAAGGAAAAGAATCAGATATTGTTATATCATGTTTTGGATTTTATAATTTGGATAAAACATCCAAAAAAGAATTTGTGTTTAAAATAAATAGATGGAATGTAGCAACAAGTAGAGCAAGATCTAAAGTAATTATTATTACAACTGATAAAATGCTTGACCCTGAAGATATAGAAATATCCATCAATAAGAAAATGAGAGAAGGACATGCATTTCTTAATATGATTGAAAACTGGGTACAAAATAATGATAATAATATCGGAGAGAAAAGAAAGAGAGAGAATATTGGCATTATTAAATGGACAATTAGTGGTGATGAAAAAAAACAAAGAAATGATTAAATTTTTTTAATTTTCAATGATAGTTAATGGAATATTTATTAATTTATTCTGCTAATACTTTTGAGATATCTTAGATATCTTGAACTTTATTTATGTATTTATATCATTATCTTAATGATTTAGTATTATTCGTACTATTCTTTGTATTTGGACTAAAGTAATAAATGCTTCTTGTTTAAATAAATTTTGCGAATAAAGTTTTATAACCTAATTGCATTATGTAGCTACAAAATTTTCAATACGTCATTCGAAGTAAATAGGATTTACCCAGCGTACCCTACAAAAATGTCACAAAAACACGTGACTGGTTTATTCCCATTTTTCAAAATCCTATTTGTCACACATTATTTGTCACATAGTTAATTTCTTAAAAAGGGTCGCTTGTAATATATTTCTATAAGAAGATCAATTTCTTGATTCTTCAATTTATTTCTTGATTCTTCGGATAAATGTAAAAGTATTTTATTAAATAAAATATTACTTGCATCGTCAGTTAGATTGGCTAATTGTCACCTTCACTTATCTGCGAGAATTGAAAAATTAAAAAACGATGAGTTTTTACGAGTTTTACGTGTAAACAAAATATATCGTCTCACAAATGCTATTTTTAGGTTGATCACTGACCTGCTAATCCTATACGAAATGGCCAGAGCTATAGGCGTGGGAGGAGGCTTAATAGCCTCAGCACATGACAAAAAGTTTGGATATGGTGGCCATAGACTTATTACCCAAAGGAAGCGTGCGACAGAGGAAAACATACGGTCGTGATAAAAATTGCTAGATCTCGTGGAGAAATTTCGTAAAAGACATCTGGCGGAGTGTTAGGCGCAATATTTTCTGTAAGAATAGGAGTAATTGCCATATTCAGGTCTGTTAAATGAACCAAGCTGTTCAAGCGTAAAAATCAAGTATTTGACTACAATCGTAGCGTTGACGTATATCAGAGTTTTGTTTTGATCTAACTAAATCAAAATGTTGCAAAGAATATTCTTTGTAGTATAAACTACGATATTGTATTAGTAATTTTTCTTATTTTGGTACTTGTCTGCTGTTATTTTTAAAAAAAATAGCATCCAGGCCGCACGGCGAGGACGTCAGTACCATTGCGACCCAAAAAATATAGTAGTGTACTGCAACTAAATTACAAAGTACAACTACTTAAGTGTAATATATGTTCTCTTCAGTGCAGTATAAGTGTAGTATATGTTCTTTTCAGTTTTCCATAAGACCGAAAGACCGAGAGAGACCGTTATCCTATCCACGAGTAGTGACTTTTTCTTTCACTTTATATATCTTGAAAGAGGAAAAAATTCCCAAAAATAAAAAAAGTTTTACCAAGGTTTTTGACCGGTAAGGAAAGCACATAACCAACTCCTGCTCTGGAGTCAGTAGACCTTACAACGGGTGCGACTCAAAGGTAACCTGGACCCTGTTGGGCGCGACCGTTTTAAACCCTTACAGACGAAAAAGGGAAAGGCAACTTGGACCTTTAATAGAACGCGACCGTTTTAAACCTTCACAGCCGAAAATGGAAAGGTAACTTAGACCTTTAATAGAACGCGACCGTTTTAAACCCTTACAGTCAAAAGGGAACTCTTAGTAGAGATAAGAACCTCTAGTAAAAGAGTTAGAAAAAAGTAGATAAAGACCTTAGGAAAAAGGGTATTCTATTTATATATTATTTTTTCGTATAACGCGTATAGCGGTTATGTTGTTCAATGTGATTATGGGAAAATGTATAATGACTCATAACAATATTTCCTTATTAATCTATTAAATAAAGATTATAATATAAACATGCAATAACTATTGTATATAACGGTAATAAAAGAGTAAATATTTATAAATATCTAATATTTTTAATATTTTTGAAATTTTTAACCATTTTTTTTTGTAAATATAGCTTTCGATTGATTAATATTTGCAGCCCTCTACTGCTATGATTATATCTGAAAATTTCAGATGAGCTCTGACGATCTACATAGTATAATCTCCTATATCGGTCTCACAAATGCTATTTTTAGGTCGATCAAATCCTATACGAAATGGCCGGAGCTAACGTTAACACTATCACGTCAAGAATATAACTCCTAAACTTTGTTAATATTGTACACTCCACTGTACGCCGATTATACTTGCGTAACAGAGATAATCTTTATTTTGAAAAAAAAAAAATTTCCTTTTCTAGTTTTATTCTTTGTTCTTTATTCAAAAAAAAATGCCACCCAGAAAACATTCTCATTGTTTTAACTAAAAGTCAAATAAATATAACCATTTTGCATTATGTCATTATTGTAGAACCAGAATTAGTGCTCCGAATGACCTGCCGGGTCAGGTTATAAATTTCCTTGACCTGGGTTTGACCCGGGGTTGACCCAGATCGACCCGGATGTTTTTAATTCTGGGAAAATTATAATTTTGGCCAAAATTAAGCCAAGAATTAGTTTTAACAAATATTAACATAGCTTAATCAGAAAAATAAAAAAGTTAACCTTTGGCTTTTGAGAATAATATTTTTCTGATAGCTTTAGAATTCCAATTTATCTTTGATTTGAATATCTGCTAATTATTTTGCCTAATTCTTTGACTTTTATTATATTAAACCAGGTTCAAAATTCGTATTTTTAATTTTATTTTATTTAATTAGTCTAGGAGAAAATAAGAACTAGTGTTACATGTTTTGTATAACCATTCATGATACAAATTTCAGGTGGCTACTAGTGGTTAATCACTAAGTTGCCTTTTTTTCAAATAAAAAAAATTAATTTTGTTATTATTATAAGAAAATCTCACATAATATAAGTTAGTACCCATTTTACTTAAATGTTCGGGTCTAACCCAGGTTACACAAGTTAAATTATACTCGGTCGAGTCAAGGGTCGGGTTACGAAAATATGAGACCCAAATAAATACGAGTCTTATATTTTTTTATTCAGATCGGGTCGAATATTTCCTCAAACCCCGACCCAACTTGACCCGGTAGGAGTACTAACCAGAATTACTAACACAAAAAAGTTAGTAACTTCCCATTTAAAATATTGTACAAAATTTGAAGAACAGCATAATGAGGATGAACGAGATAGAATACTTTATTCCGAAAATATGAGGAGAAAACTCAAATTGCTCCTCCTCCATGTGGTAAATTTTCAGTAATGATACTTTTGAAATTTGTTAAATGGAATTATTGATATTAATTCACTTTTTATAATTAGTTGAGGAAAAATCTATCGATGTTGTGACAGTAACTTATACGCCTCTACCAACTCTTCTTTCTAAGCAAGATGATGCACGTTTGGAAAATTTAGTATTAAGTTCTACTATAAATAATGGGTGGTCATTTAGATGGGTTGAAAATCCATCAAGTCAAAAAATGATTAATTTTGCAAAATCCTGGGTTGAAATTACCTACTCGCAAAGCATTAGCAGGTCGTATTTTAAATAAAATTATAAAAATTCAGAAAATATTAAAAACACTTTAATTGATATTGTACAAAAAGATTCATTTGGAGTTGCTGTATATTTTGATGGATGGAAAAATGCCAAAAAACAAGAAATTCTGGGTTCAGTTTTAGTCACTTCTGAAGGGCAAGTTTTAGTATGGGGAGGAGAAGATGTAAGAAAAAATTATCTTCAATGGAAGGAAATTAAAAAATTTTCATTGAAATTTTTAGGAGATTTAGATCAAAAAAAAAAAAATATATAATATAATGCTATAATTACTGATTCCGCGTCTCAAAATCAAGCTGCAAGGTAAGTTAATGAGTTTAAATTTGTAAATTATTAATTAATATTGATATATAATTTTAATTCTTCTATTTTGCAGAAAACGTTTGGTATCAGAATGGCGGGATGTATTTCTTGGCCCCTACTTTGCTCATCATCAAAGTATCAAACAAATTTAATTGTCAGAGAGATTTTAAAGAATTTCCTAATTTGGTTATTGCAATTGAAAAGGCTATTCGTATTATTGCATATCTTAACAAATCAGTTACTTTATGGCTAGATTACACGATTGACAAGAAATTAAATATAATAAATATTTTGCGTTACTTCTTCCATGTGCTACTCGTTGGAATTCTCATTATTATTGCTATTTTATTTTATTACGAACAAATTAGCTTTAAAGGTATTTACAATTATAATTTATAAATATTTTTGTTAAATAAAAATAACTTTTTTTTTCTATATTTTTTAGGTGCTTATTTCTAAATATGCTCCTGAAAAATTTAATTAAGATTAAGACGAAGAAATTCACTATTCTGATACCCTATAAAAATAAGTGTCCGGAAATTGTCCAGAAATTGTCCAGAAAATTTGTCTAAATAATTGTCCAGAAAATGTCCAGAAAATGCCAGGTACCATGTCCGGAAATTGTTCCGAAAACACACTCGTTTCCGGACACTCATTTTGTCCAGAATTTGTCCGGAAATTGACCTGAAATATTTTTTCATAAAATTTGGCACAAAAAGATGATCAACAGGTGACCATCATTATAATTGCTTTTAACTTAAAGTTTTATATCATAGATATATAGTATTTTTGCCTGCTCAGCAAATTTAATTAGTATGACAAAGAAGGTTATGAATGTCAGTCTTGTGCTTTTTGCATTTTTTTACAAAATTAATTTATCCTTTTTTGGAAGTAGCGTCCAGAATTTGTCCAGAATTTTTTCATGTCCGGAATTTGTCCAGCTCAAATTATCTGAATTTTTACTATGTCCGGAATTTGTCCAAAATTTTATACTGGACAAATTCTGGATATATTCTGGACAAAGTCCGGATATGTCAAAATTTTAGGTATCAAAATTTGTAGCAAAAAATAGACATTTTCTGGACAATTTCTGGACATTCCAGATTTATTCTGGACAATTTCCGGACATTTTCGTAGACATTTTCTGGACATTTATTTTTTATAGGGATAAAGAATCTGAAACAAGTAATAACAAGAAATTGCTACTTGATATTTGTAAAATTATTGATAGTGAAGTTTGGTGGAAGGAAATTAGACAATTAGAAAAGCTTTTACTTCCTTTTTATGAAGCGTTAAACAAATTACAATCAGAAAATGCTCGTCTTCATGATGTGCTTCATAGTTTTGGCTATTTTTATAAAATATGGCTGACCAAGATTTGGGGGAAAAATGATTTCATGTTTGGAAATATGGTGGTATATCTGGGAACAACCTTTATTATTAATTTCTTTTCTTTTACACCCTGAATATCGAGATAATTTTTTCATTAAAAGTAATCAATCATTTTTCTTTTGTTCAACTGAATCAATGGATGATTTACTATTATTGTGCTTGGTTTAAACGGATGCCTACCAAATTTACAAAGTTATCGAAAGCAAGATTTTCCATTTAATAATATTTCATTAATACAATTTTGACGTGGTATACTTGGCTTTTGGGACTTTGTATCTGCGCACACACCAGATTTAAGTGCTTTTTGTACCAAAATGTATGCAAATTGCATTAACACTACTTCAGTTGAAAAACTATTTTCTGCTATGGGAATTTTTCACAAAAGAAAACGTTTGGCCGTATGCATTTTAATATTTTGAATTATTTATTTATTTTTTACTTTCTTAAATATAATTAATTATCTATTTCAGTCGAAAAAGGTTTTTTACATGCAGATAAAAAGTTCAAGACCACGATCATTGCAATTCCAGTAATTCAAGAGCAGCCAGGAAGATGGCCTATTCCAAGTATCTAATGATAATGATGATCAAGATCCTGAACGTGATATTGAATCATCTTGCGAGTGGAGAAATTTAATAAATGAATGGATTGAAATGGTAGATGAAGATGAACAAATAAATCAGACGAATGAAGAAAATAGCGAAAATTTAGAACCACTTATTGAACGTGTTATGAATCTAGACCAGATTTTGCGTAACAACACCCACTTATTACAAAAATGCTAAATGGAAGTTAGGTGATATATTTGATTTTGAAAAATTTCAGCCTCCCGAATATTTGACATTATTGAAAAAGTTTATTTTTTTTTATTTTGAATTAATATATTTTGTTAATTTGCAGATGAGATGGAATAAATATTTATGCTGGCTTAAAGAAAATGTCTAATGTTCGATGAAAATTATTTATATTTTGATTATCCAATTTGTTTATATAATAGTAATTTTTGAATATGAAAAAAAAATTTTCAAATAATTTCTTCATTATATATTAAATAAAGTGACATTTTCTTGTTTTTTTTAAATAAAAAGTAATTTGTTAAATTAAAGTTTTTAATAAAATTAATTACTGAACATATTTCTTATCTGTTATGTCCAAATACATAATTTATTGGACATTGTGGATATACGTCCAATTGGATGTCAAATTTGGTATCCGGGTGTCCAAATGTTCAGTTGGACAGATGGTCCAACACTGAATTAACAATGATTGGAAAGAATTTGGTCCTACTTTTTAAATACTAATAAACCCATGCAAATCAAAGCGAGGGACCTATAGAAAGAAAAAAATTGAACCGTTAGAAGGTTTCTCAAGATTAAAAAAAAGGAAATTAAAGATGTTTTGAAACGAAACTTATCAAGAATCCGAGATAGCAAAACGAAACCGAAGAAACCTACAAAAAAAAAGAATAATGAAACGTTAATCTTTTGTAATAAAAAGGAGATAAAAAAGTTACAGTATTAATTACCCTTTATTATTACCCTTTTAAACCATCATTTAATAATAGTAATTATTAGTGATTATTTTAATTATTTTATTTTTTTTATGAAGCAGATAATCCAAATAGCGCGAAATTCGTTTTCGGTCGATAAGAAAAGTTTGCGTATAATATTTAGCTTTATTATTGTTTATTTTTATGATTTATAGAATAATAGCATAATATTGTTACATAATTGGGATCAATCATCGATAATAATTGAACTAATTAACCAAAATGTGTCAAGTACTTACGTCACAATCAATCATTATAATAACAATTATGACAATTGACGATAAATATGGAATGAAAATCATATAAAATAAATCGATAACAAAATATTTTACCTTACTATTTGTTATATTTCTTTTTTACTTTTAAAACAATACTCAACTCAAAAAGGAAAATCAATTTATCGGATTTTGAAACATTAAGATATGATTATGATGACATGCATATCAATTGTTTTAAATAATAACGTGAAATATTAACATTTTCCCCTATTTTGAGAATTCTTTTTGTTTTAATATGTTATAAATATTTGATTAATCGCTTCTTCTTCATCGGATAACAAATTTCAAAAAAAAAAAAAATCAAATAAGAAACTAAAAGATTCAAACAAATAAAAAAAGAATTTTCAAAACAAACCTAAAGCACATCAAAATGAATCCAAGAAAAATCAATGCTACTACTAAACCTGTCATCATTGTTACTTCTGAAGCAACAGAAAACCTAGCAATCTTATAAATCAATGCTCTATAAATATATATAAAATTTTATTTGAAAAATTGCTCAGAAAATTTATCGATATATTTTATATATAGTTATATTTATTATCTCAGATGTTAAATATCATAGTCTTTTATTAAATATTAAATTTAAATAAATAATCATTCCTTTTTTTCGTTCTTATTTTTTATAATATAAAATTTGTGATAATAATCTGTAATGCCTGCCAACTCAATAATTTATTTTACACGCTAACGCTAATAAAAATACCGCTCAATATTTGATAAAAAGTCTCATACTAAAAAGGTACTTCTTAAAAGCAAAGATTTCAGATGACTTGAATTTAATTAATAGTATCTGGATTTAAATATCAGTAGGGTTACAACGTCATAAACTTTTTTAAACTTCGTAAAAACTCTTATCGTTTTTAATTAGCCAATCTAACTGACGATGCAATATTTTATTTAATAAAATACTTTTACATTTATCCGAAGAATCAAGAAATTGATCATCTTATAGAAATATATAAGCGACCTTTAATTATTAAATGGGTTTTGAGCTTGATTTTACTAACGGAGATGATACTGGCGGAAAGTCTATGGTATCCTTTCTATAAATAATTTGCAAAAATGATTCCCGAAATGTATTAGTCGTTACATTTTTGGCGCCCTCACCAGCGAAAATAAGCACCTTGTGCAGCAGTCCCGGGAAATATAAAACCCGGCGCAATACTATTTACTGGACTACCCCAGCGTACCGTACCGCCGTACTGCCGTACCCTACAAAAATGTCACGAAACGGCCGGCATTAAGAAATTAAGAAATTAACTATGTGACAAATAATGTGTGACAAATCGGATTTCACAAAAACCCAGATATGAAAAAGGAGGGTGTGACACATGTGACAAACAGTCACGTGACTTTTCGTGACATTTTTGTAGGGTATGCTGGTGTTACCGAAATATATCGGCAAATAATTATCGGATAACTAAAGATATTATATCGTATATCTACACAATCACACGATTACGACGAAATCCTTACTCAATACTACCTATCCTGGTATTCCGGTATTGTTCGTTAAGAATCGTCACGGTAAATAACTACAAAATACGATAAATAACAACACCCGATGGTTATAAGACGAATCTTATAGTAGAATATACAGAAACAACAGGTTATATTATAGACCGAAAAATAATGATTTTATTAACAACGTAGGATTATGAGAATATAACAACACGATAAAAAAAAATGGCAGAAAGAGGATAAAGGTATATGTCTAAAGGAAATATAACTATAGATAACTAAGGATAATATTATTTTTCGTAATATGACCTTATACTATCCGTTTATCAACGAGCTAACAAAAGGTGTATTTATATCTAATTCCCATCTCTTTTTTTCTATCATCAAGATAAATATCTAAATCTATTATTATCTTATTGTCATAATCGTTAATGTTTCAGTGTAATATTACTTCGTATTTACAATAGTAATATTTCTTCATTATAAGCCACGGTTATTAAACCATAAATAATAAAATTCTATCGGCTAAATTACCATTGAGCTAATTATCCTACATTATCTTATATATACATAATCAATACAAATATAGAAAATAAATAACATAACAATAATAAAAATAATAAGTATAATAACTATACTAATGCTACATTTGTAAATGTAACCAATAAAATCAATATCTTCTATTTAGTTAATCTCATGTACAATAATCTGCGGTCATAATCGTCATACATCGTTATATAATATCGAAAATCGACATGTGTACAAACTACATTGGATCGTCATATATCATCGGAAGTCATGTGTGCAATTTATCACGTAACACTGGGTAAATCCTATTTACTGTGAATGACGTATTGAAAATTTTGTAGCTACATAATGCAATTAGGTTATAAAAGCTTTATTTGCAAATTTCATTTAAGAAGCATTTATTACTTTAGTCCAAATACAAAAAATAGTACGAATAATACTAAATCATTAAGATAATGATATAAATGCATAAATAAAGTTCAAGATATCCAAGATATAACAAAAGTATTAGCATGAATAAATTAAAACATCTTCCATTTACTATCATTGAAAATTAAAAAAATTTAATCATTTCTTTGTTTTTTTTCATCACCACTAATTGTCCATTTAATAATGCCAATATTCTCTCTCTTTATTTTCTCTCCGATATTATTATCATTATTTTGTACCCAGTTTTCAATCATATTAAGAAATGCACGTCCTTCTCTCATTTTCTTATTGGTGGATATTTCTATATCTTCAGGGTCAAGCATTTTATCAGTTGTAATAATAATTACTTTAGATCTTGCTCTACTTGTTGCTACATTCCATCTATTTATTTTAAACACAAATTCTTTTTTGGATGTTTTATCCAAATTATAAAATCCAAAACATGTTATAACAATATCTGTTTCTTTTCCTTGCATTTTTTCTGTTGTATCAATTATTTGTAAATTAATATTTGGATATCTTTTAAGCTTTTATTGAATTGCAATTCGTTGTCGATGAGACGGTGTTACTACAAGTAATGATTGCTTCTTGGTTTCTTCTACATTATTTATAGAAATATAAATTTTTTCCACAACTTCGACTTCAGTTTGTAAAAATTTATCTTCTAATGTTCTTGGATTATTTCTTAGTCCCTTGTTTCTAGCCATAAGTTTTACTAGTATAATTGCTGAGTCTGGTGATAAAATTCTTTTAATTCGTGAATCTGGATCTTCAAATAATAATGATGGCAATAATTTTGTTTCTTTTAGCGGTGAAATTTTATAATCTTTACCATATATCATTTGAAAAAAACTATTCGATTTTTCATTCTGAAATAGGAATGATGTTATTAATTCAATTAAAATTGAAATAAAAAAGTATTATGACAAAACAGACCATTTTCCAATTTTCTTTAAGTTGTGCCGTAAGAGGTCCAAAATTATGTTTTTGCTCTTCTCGTAAGATTAAATTTTCCTCATGAATAACGTTACCATTCTCTTTACGCATTAAACATTGTAGGATTGACCCAAATATGAGAAAATGATTGAGTGAAAATGTAGGATAAGTGGCTTGAAGAATTGGTCCAAATTGCTATTTAGAATAAAAAAGGGTAAACACTAAACACAGATTTGATTTGTTTATAAAATTTACGTAATTACCATATGATCTCTGACAACAATTAACTTTCCTGTTTTTGGATTCAAACATTCAATTGCAATGCTAGCATCTGATACCAATAACTATTTAAAAAACAACATAGAAAATTTAATTCAATTTTAAATTATGAATATAATATTTTTGAATTTTAAGTAGTACTTGAACGTACCTGAGAACCTTCGTCGATTATCATTATATCACATCCGACCCAACCAGAATTCCAACTCTTTCTTACTTTAAACCAATCACAAACTGTACTTCCAATCACAGTTGGTTTATCATTAATTCCAATTTTATTCCATAAACTCCATGCTCTACATTTTTTTATTCCATTAAAGTGATTCTTTTTTGAATCATCAGCTAAATCAATGATGTCAAATCACTCGTCTTATGGTGTTGTTTTTGTACAGTTGAAATTCTATCCAGTAAATTTTTGATAGCAGCCCTAGTAAAAGCCGTTACAGTAGTTACACCGACTATATAATTCTTTGTCAACTTACACTTATATTCACTTAAGTACCATGTGGTAAACAGCGAAAGGAAATGTGTTTTACCAGAACCCTATTAAATGGAAAAGGTTGTTAATAAAATAATAATATATACGCAAAATGTAAATATAATTACAGGTGGTCCCCAAACAATTTGAAGTCTCTTTCCAATATTTTTTTTGAAATTTCTTCTTGTGATGGAGATATTTGTAATTTGATCTTTTTAAATTGTTCTACTTCTCCAGTTAGTGCCCACTCATTTGGATCTTTTAAAAGATTCTAAATTAATGAATGTAATTTAATTAGATTTAATTATTTATTTTCTGCAAAAATATTTCGAACAAAAAAAAAGGAATTTACCATAAATACTGATTCATGTTCGTTCCTTTCATCCATTGTAGTAAGCGTATCTAAAACTCTATCAAGATTAATATCATAGTATCGTTTGTAAAGACGATATTTTATCTCTTTCTTAAAATTTGTTGAGAAGATTCCTTTCAAATAAATTGATGGCATTTTTTTTTGTAGGTCACTGTCATCAACTTCAAGAATATCCACAAACAATAAAGGAGATTTACTATAATCTGCTCGATACTTCATATCTGAAAATTGAACTGCCTTTAAGACGGGCTATTTTTTTTGATAAAAATTATAAAATATTTATCATAATATGTTTGCAATTTTTATAAAATCAAGATTTTTAACATACTATCCCTTAAACTTGCACCAAGATCATACATAATGATCCAATTTCCGAAACGATTGAGTCCTTCATTGACAGTGGCCATCTTAAATATTTGACAAGGAGGAAGTTATTTGATGGATGGGATAATGAAATCAAAATTGTAAAAGTTATAACCAAAATATGTTTGTAAATTTGATAAATTTAAATTGATTAAATTTGAATAATTACAGATAGAATGACGTACAGACGTACAGATAGAGTGACGTATAAATATCGCTGTTGCTAACATTGACCACATGACAACATCACGACGTAATCAGATTTTCATGTACCAGTTTTTGAACATATAAATTTTGGACACGTAGATTAAACTTATTTATAAATACATTCTCGTTTCTAATATCAAACTCGGACAAAAAATAAAAATGTCGCACGCAGAAAATGAATTGTCTGGTAAGTATGGGCATTTTAATGACTAACAAAGTACAGACTGGGTCGTATTTAACACAATATTTTGCTCTATGAAAGAATTTAAAAGCTTTTTCAAAGACAGCCATGAGGCTTGTGTAGCTTATTATGACTGTCTATCCATCAATGAGTCTGGTTTAACATATCTGGATCCAGTGAAATGCGAGGCCAAAAACTTTGATTCAAAAAAGTAAGTAATTTCATTGACACTTCCTGTTCAAGTCACTATTAACATCACCCTTTTATACAGAGTAGCTAAAGAGCAAGAAAAAAGAATCCTTTCATTTATAGAAAAATTCAACAAAGTTAAAGAAGAAAGAGGAGCTCCTTTTGCACGGGAAGAATTGAAAGCTACTCTAATCTACAGCAATAATTTGTATGTTGCATATTATTTTCAGAATGAAAACACAGATTCATTGAATACTTATGTCATCCCTTTTTAGGCCAAAGCCATTCAATTATCTCCATGGACCAGGTCCAGAAATTCCATATCCAGATAATAATGTAAATACTAATCAAAATTACTTTTCACGAAGTGACAGTGGTAACATTTTATTAATTTTTTTTGCAATTTTACAGCCTTCAGTTGGCAAAGCGATTCAACTTATTGGCCATAAAATCAAACTTTACAATGATGATGTTGAGGTTATTGCGGTCAAAATAACTAAAAATGGTATTTTTTTAAATGTAGAAAAAAATGTAGAAGGAGAATTGATTCACCATGAAATTAGTTATGAGAATGATATAGTTCCCTTGTGAATGTTCTTATTTTACAGTAATTGTCTATCCGGATAAAAAAATTCGTCACCGTTAAGGATTTTCATATCCGGATATCTGTTTTAAATAAACTGGATAGCATCCGGATAGTATCGGATAAATACGTTAATTTCGCGGAGTGCTAAAGGATTTTTTAATGAGTTTATTAGAGGTTACCCGAAAATAATCCGTCAATATCATGTATCCAATTGTATGAATTTTAAAGCCAAGTAATTTAATTAGTATTATTGTTTAGTAAGAGTTAAATAAAATAAAAAAAGAAATCAGTCACGGACTTAAACACGAGTTTAAAAAGTTTGAGTATAAGTAAGAATTAAGTCACAAAACTAAAGTAATCCAAAAAATTTAAATGTGTATCTGGGTCACGTGATACTCATTCGGACCTGCCAACTAAAAAAAAAATTTATCCGGATATCCATTTTTATCGGATATCCTTTAGCTTAACCGGATGTGCTGAATCCGGATACAATCAATACACTGGATAAAGTATTTATTTGGTTTCAAATATATAGGAAATATCAAAAAAGTTTTAAGATTGCCCTTATGAAAGTTTAGAATTCTATTTACCAGCGATGCTATTTTTAAAACAATTAACAATTTGTCATCTATTAGCAATTAGCCAGCAAACTTTATGTTTGAATAAGAAAATTTTATTCGTATTTTATACGCAAAATAGTAAAATATTCTAGAATAGATTGTAAATAAAATTTTGTACTCTTTATTCATATTTTAATAATATTTTTTTTAAAAAAAATTACATTTTATTGTTACAAAATACTATAGTCATAATTTCATAAATAAATATAAATAAATTATTATTAAAATATTTCTATCTTTCAGAATCAGTCCCAATAGTGTTTGGTGTTCCAATGTAAAAAATTATGTCAATAGAGTTAGTATAATCATGAAAATGCCATAGCTCCATGATAAAAATAGCAATATCAGCAATATTATTATTCAACTATGATATAACTAAAAATATTATTTTTTTAATAAAAATAAAAAAAATGAAAAATAAAAACATGAGTATTACAAAAGAGAGAAGGAAAAATGTGTACGGTAATCTGAACAATGATTCACGATATATATTGTCCAATCAAATTCGGTGGTGGATCAGGCATCTACAGAATTTGGTCACGGGATCAATAGTGGCGGCCGATATAATAGTAATTCCGACTAGCACTATCGAGTTTGACGATACTTACCATTAATTGAAAATTTTAGTGTTGATTAAGCATATGATATGACGAATACATTTGTTCTGTTGTAAATTGATCAAGTTAATTCTTCAACATTCCAATCTGAATACGGACCGAAATACGAACCAAGCAACAACACTGAAAGTACAAAATATTATTAAAATATTACCTGTATATTATGTGCGAATACTCTTAAAGCGCATATTCTCATAGACACAATTTAATTGTCAAAAAATTCAACAAAGGCTTTTAATAAAAAAAAAATTATTACTTTAAAATTAAATAGAAAAATTATAAAATATATATATATATATAATATAATTTGTCTACCGTTAAAATAATAAAACCCGACTAATTATCTCTGAATTGTAAATGATAATTGGGGTGTTGAATTTTTTGCTCAAATCCAAACGTAATTTAAATCCTTTCAAATTCTTTTCTTGCTGATGTCGAGATATTCACATGATTTTGCATCATCATATGAAAATATGGTGGGCTTTTAGATTACTTGTACAAAAATATTTAGTGGACTTTTTATACCTTTAAAATAATCTAAAAAATTAAAAAATTTAATAATAACCATTTTTTTTAATAACCTAATAACCTATTGTTTCAAATTTATAAAATTCGGAATGACTGTTAAAATAACAACAAAAATGGTATGATAACCTTCTGATATCGACAACAATACGATGATCGTTCGTTTTGTATACGTAAGTACATTAATAAGGATTAAGGATTATAAAAAATATTAATACTGTATTTGATTCTTACCAAAAAAAGATTTAAGATTTTGAGAATAATGGAAACAATCAATTTAATTAGGAAAAAAATTTTGTATATCCCGATATTTGCTGAATCTCATGATTTTCAACATGCATAATAATATTGGATGTTAAACAGTTAACAGTTAATGAAATTTGATTAAAAAGATAAAAAAAAAATTATAATGTAATTAAATTAGAAACTATATCGGTAAAAATTATTTTAACTATCTAATAAAGCGGTAATGTTATCATCAAAATCAACGATTATTGATTTCGTGTTATTGTTATTATTTAACATTCTCATAAATGAAAGAATTACAAATGAGAAATGTTACACAAAGCGCCACATTATAAATTATGAGAAATATGACGGCTGATCAACAATTTATTGCGCATGTTTGCTATGCAACCGTATGTAACATTACACGACCAATAATAAAGTATATATAATAACGACTTTTTTTACTCCTGATTATTATTATTTACTTTTTTAAATATTTCATTATGTCCGATATATCCGATTCACAAAATAATAATAATAATAATAATATTTTTTTATCAAAAAATTCAAATATTATAAATTATGAATCAACATTTAAATTTAATATTAAAAGTCCTAATATAATTTTTATTAATGATTTTATGTCAAAACTTTTTAAAGAATTATTACAAGAATTATATATAATCCTTTTAAACGCAGAAGTTGAAGAAATTTGTGATTCTAAAAAAGATAAATTAAATGAATTTATAAATAATTTTTTATTTGAGTATGATTTAGATCCTAAAAATGTATTTGAAATTATTACAAGTAATTCTCAAAATATTTATTATTATTCAAGTTTGGTTGGATTTTTTTATCAAAATGGTATTGGTTGTAATGTAGATGAAATTAAAGCATATGAAATATTTTCTAATGCTGTTAAAAATAATAATCAAAGATCAAAATCAAAATCAAAATCAACAGATCAAGAAAATGATTCTATTTCATTTTATTGTAATGATAATAATAATATAAATGAAATAATTGTACAATATTTTTATTCATTATTTCTTTATAAAGATATTATATTATTTAGAAAAGATAATTATAAATTACATAAGAGAAATGCTGAAAATGGTGATCCAGTATCACAATATTATATAGGTATTTGTTGTCATTATGGTAAAAATATTGATGGAGATTATGAAAAGTCATTTGAATGGTATTTAAAATCATCAGAAGGTGGAAATATTAAAGCAACTTATGTATTAGGTTTAAGATATATGTTAGGTTTACGTTATCAAAATGGATATTATATTATGAAAGACGAAGAAAAAGGTTTTGAATTAATTTTAGAATCTGCTGAAGGAGGTCATAAATATGCTTCTCATAAATTGGGTGAATTTTATGAAAATGGTATATGCGTTTTAAAAGATAAGAAGAAAGCTTTTGATTGGTATTTAAAAGCTGCAAATAAAGGTGATAGTCATTGTCAATATTTAATATCAAATTATTATTATGAAGGAATTTATGTATTAAAAAATGAAAAGAAAGGATTTTATTGGAATAGAAAAGCTGCAATAAATGGTCATTATGATTCTCAACATAAATTAGCTGAATATTATTTTAATAATAAGAATGAGAAGAAAGCATTTAAATGGTATTTAAAATTAGCCAATAAAAATTTTATAAGAGCTATTTATTTAGTTGCAAAATATTATAGAGATGGTAATGGAACTGATAAAAATTTGATTGAAGCTTCAAAATGGTTTAGTAAATATGAATTATCAAAAATTTATGGATGTAAATTGATTACTTTGAATAATTTTTTGGAAGGTTTAGATATTAATGCCTTTGAAATAGAAACGTATAAACATCTTCCTTAAATTTATTTTATTTTTAATAATTATTTATCATTATTTATATATGTAAGAGCATTATTTAATATTAATAAAATGAGTATTTTTAAAATGCTGTAAATGTGGGAGCACATGATTAAAATTCTGAGATTATCCATAAAGAAAATACCCTGATTCGGTTATGAACATTTATTACGGAATGAGTACGATGTGAATCTTAAATAATGTGATGAAATTAACGAAAAACTTGGAAAAAATGATGTTCTCTCCTATCGTTTAGTATATCTGCTAATATCTGCTAGTATTAAGAAAATCAATGTGGCACACTTTTCACTATATAGTATCCAGGTAATTTAAAATCTTATTACTATTCAGTCAATAAAATCTATAAATTCGCAACCAACAGTAAATCTCATACTTAAATATTCTTTTTGAATAGTACTATTATTAATAATTTAAATTTGACAGAAAATTTTAATCAAAATATGCTTCCCCTTCACCTCCTCCTCCATCATCATCAAATGCATCATCATCTCCATCGTCAAAATAATTTTCAAAATAATCCGCAGCTTCTTCATATTCTTCATCCTCTAGATCTTGTTCCATATTTGAATCTTTTTCAAACTCATTTTCGTTCTCATGTTCCACATTTTTAGTCTTTTCTCTACCTTCTTGCTCTAATAATTGTCCAAATGTTAAATTTAGGTCAGATTGAACTTTCCTTTGATTTGTATCAATGGAATTTGTTACTTTTATTGATTTATCTTTAACAATATGTAACTCTTGTGGAAAATATGCTAAATCTGTTTTAACATCTTGTAATGAACGTTGAGTTTTCTTTTTTTTGAATTGATCAGTATATCGTTGAATATCACGCGAGGAAGGTGTTGAAGTTATAAAGAAAAGCGAATCTTTAAGAGATGCTTTATATGCAAACAATGCTTTAAGCACTTCCTGTTCATCTTCAGAAGGGGGTATTGATTCTTGAAATTCGATCCTAGGAGAGGTGTCACTTGAAAGAGTTTGATGTAATTCATTAGATGATTGTTCAAACAAAATATTCTTTGGTCGTCCACGTTTTGGACGAGTAAAGCTTGTTCTAGATCCTGTTTTCATAGTTGTACCAAATATAGTTGAATCTTGTGAAGATAAGGAAAGAAAGAAAAGATGTAAGATTAATATTTAAATAAAATTATTTGTGTATAATATGACTCAGACTGAAACAACTTACATTATTGACATAATAAAGAAACTACACCACACATAATTTGTCATATATTTTTTCTTAGCGGAAATCTTGGATAGCAAATAACAATTCTTACACCAATTTTGCACAACTTTATATCGGCTGTTTTGATTAATAAACAAACATTTTATGTGGAATGACGTAATACATAAGTAAAAAAATTAAATATTGACGCGACTGGAAATATATTATTGCTGTTTTCTAATTACTGTGATCTAGCATTATTTAATAAAAAAAAAAATTTTTGAGAAAATATGTGAAAATAAAAATTTTATTGCATTTTCAAATAAAGGAGGTATGATTATAAGCTGAAAATTACAATTTTAAGAAAAAATTTTCAATTTTTAAATAAGTTTACTTATAAGTAACTTTTTAAATTTTGTGTAACAAATCGTTTTTTAAAAAGTAAACTTATTTAAAGATTGAAAATTTTTTCTTAAAATTATAATTTTAGCTTATAATCAAACCTCCTTTATTTGAAAATGCAATAAAATTTTTATTTTCACATATTTTCTCAAAAATTTTTTTTTTTTTATTAAATAATGTTAGATCACAGTAATTAGAAAACAGCAATAAGACTAGAATAGTTAATACTCAATAAATAATCAATTTAATTAATAATTATTAAGTTTCTCAGATTATAATATAATGAATTCTTTATTGATTTAGTATTTACAAAAATTTTGACAGTATCATCAAATAAAAACATACGTTCATATCATGAACTTTTTTTAATGTTCTTGTCTTATATTGATGATTCTAAAATAAAACATGAATTAATTATGACTGGCGGCGGACTGGGCATGGGAGGCGTAATAGTCTCAGCACATGACAAAAAGTTTGGATATGGTGGCTATAGACTTATTACCCAAAGGAGGCGTGTGACAGAGGAAAACATACGGTCGTGATAAAAAGTGCTTGATCTTGTGGAGAAATTTCGTAAGAAACATCTGGCGGAACGTTAGGCGTAATATTTTCTGTAAGAATAGCAGTAATTTCCATGTTCAGGTCCATTAAATGAATCAAGCTGTGTAAGCGTAAAAATCAAGTATTTGGCTACAATCGTAGCGTTGACGTATATCAGAGTTTTGTTTGAATCTAACTACGTCAAAACGTAGCAAAGAATATTTTTTGTATTAGTAATTTTTCATATTTTGGTACTTGTCTGCTGCTATTTTAAAAAAAAAATAGCACCCAGGCCGCACGGCGAGGACGTCAGTACCATTTGCGACCCAAAAAAATATAATAGTGTACTGCAACTAAATTACAAGTACAACTACTTAAGTGTAATATATGTTCTTATCAGTGCAGTATTAAGTGTAGTATAAGTTCTTTTCAGTGCAATACAAGTGTAGTATATGTTCTTTTCAGTGTTCCATAAGACCGAGAGGGACCGTTATCCTATCCACAAGTAGTGACATTTTCTTTCACTTTGTATATCTTGAAAAAGGAAAAAATTCCCGAAAATAAAAAAATTTTTTTACCAAGGCCTTTGACCGGTAAGGAAGGCACATAACCAACTCCTGCTACGGAGTCAGTAGACCTTACAACGGGTGCAACTCAAAGGTAACCTGGGGCGCGACCGTTTTAAACCCTTACAGTCGAAAAAGGGAAAGGTAACTTGGACCTTTAATAGAACGCGACCGTTTTAAACCCTCACAGCCGAAAAGGGAAAGGTAACTTGGACCTTTAATAGAACGCGACCGTTTTAAACCCTTACAGTCAAAAGGGAACTCTTAGTAGAGATAAGAACCTCTAAAAGAGTTAGAAAAAAGTAGAGACAAAGAACTCTATTTTTTCGTATAACGCGTATAACGGTTATGTGGCTGAGTTGATTATGGGAAAATTTTTCTCATGACAATAATTTCCTTATTAATCTATTAAATATGATGATTACGTGTGATGATCATAAGTACAAGCTCAGCTGAAGTTGAAGATTATGTAAGTTATCTATGAAAAGATATATTATAAACATCTTTAACAGTACTATTGTATATAACGGTAATAGAAAAAGAGTCATTTAAAATTTATTTTTTAATATCTGTAAATATTTGTAAATATCTAACATTTTTAATAATTTTGAAATTTTTAGCCGATTTTTTTTGTAAATATAGCTTCGGTTGATTAATAGACATTTCACTTGCATCTACTATCTGAAAATTTCAGATGTTTCGGAAATACCCTAAAGTCCCTTCACCAGCTATATCCATTTTGAAACACATTTCATCGGTTCAATTTACGATACTTAGGATCCAAATCATGTTAAAAAAAAAGACAATTTATAATTCAATAACTTATAATTTATTAATTTATCAATCACAAATACTTGCATTGTATAATTCTTTTAATGACTTTAAAATTTTCTGATAATTATATTACAATAGATATTATATATTTTGCGATATTTTGGGTTTAAAGTAACTTTCCAAAATGGCGACCCAGACGTTACGTTCTGTTCTGCACTTTAATACGAGTTTAGTCGGGATGGTCGATATTTTGAGAAAGTAATACTTTGTTTTTTTTATAATTACTACTTATGTAAGTGAATATACAAATAATGCAACCTTTCGTTCTCAAAAAAAAAAAAATAAAATAAAAATAATAAAATAAAGTTAAAAGATCATTATTTCTTTATTTATTAACATTTTTCTTCTGTTTTTTTTTAGTTTTCTAATTAATAAATATAATCTTAAATAATTATAGGAAACATCACCGAATTACATTCACATGATAAAATGTATAATTCAAGAATGTATATTCATTATAAAAGCCCAAATAAAAGGATCATCAATCATTGGCAGACGGATTTATAGGCTGAAGGAAACGCGGAGTTTACGAAAAAATTGTAGATGTCACGTAATTAATAATTACTAATAAGAATTTTTTGAAGCAACTATCGATAACAGATAAGAATTTTGCGAGTTTATGTATACTTGCTATAATACCACCAAATATCAATCATGAAATCAAAGTTTTATAAGACAAATATAAAAGTCAGAGTTGTTGCTGGTCGTAAGTAATAATAGATTGTGACTTAGGTAACGAAACCGTAAATCAAGCTTACAATACGGGCGTGTTGCAACTGTTGCATGTAAATAGTTGAAATATAGGCCAGACGTTGCGACAATTTAGAATTCGACCGGTTAAATGGAATATAATGAAATTTAATATGGATATTTCCGAATATACAATTATGCAATTATCGCGTGAAATCAAATTAAAGCCATACCCTCTTTGGGTTAGTAAAAAGCTTGATCTAGAATTCAAAAGGCAATGTATCTTTTTATTAAAATAGATATCTTTATATACGATTTGGGTAATAAAATATCAAAAAATTCTTATTTGGTCAAGACAAAAATTTAATAATATCAATTTTGGTTAGTTTTAGTTGCCATATTTGGACTTTAAAAGAAAAAATAATTTTAGTTCGTTTTCATTGTAGACTTGCTTGACATACCATTAAATTTTCAGATTTTCTTTATTCATTTTTGTGGTGAAAAAAATATCAATTAGTTAATACTTTGTGTAACCAAACATCAATTGACTTTTTTAAATTTTAGAATATTTTCATAGAACAAATAGAACAAATTAGCGAAAAATATTTAATACAAATTAGCAAATTATATGAAATAAATATATTACGACTAGTCTTTTTCAGAATTAGTGTAATTTTTGAAAATTCAATGTCTGTCTTTTTTTAGAAATGTGGGTAATCCGATGTCCGATCATTGCCGAACACAAATATTTTTTTTTTTCCTTTCAGCCTATCAAAAATTTAATATTTCTTTGTTATCCCTAAAGAAGAAAATTTTAGCGTTTCGTTATACAATCTAATGCATTGCATTAAATAATAAATTATATTATGATTGTACGTGACAAATAGATGATCTCGTGAATTTTTTTTTTTTTTCAAAAAAAAGAAAAAAAAAAAATTTAGGAAGCATTGTGTAAAAATCATTTGTGAATTAATTATTATATTTGTATCACTTTTATAATATTTGCGTTCAAAACGGTTTAGATTTCGTGTAACAAATTTGTTTCGTCTCATTTTTTTTTTTATTTAAACGCATTTTTTTTTTTACTTTGGTTTTTATCGTGATTCTCATAATTTATTCATCTTTTCAATCATGAGAAATCATATTTTTACGAACCTTTTTTTGGTCCTTATGATATTTATTTTTTTTATTAATAATAATTTTAATGTTAATGCTGAAATAACTATCAAAGCAATGTTAAAAGCAGATATTAATGATAAAAAATTGGTAACTCGACAAACTGGACCCTCAAAATTAAGTTGTTATTATGCTATTGATAATGTTCATAAATCTACTACTCTTGATGTTGGAGTACCTCAAAATACAATTTTTGCAAAATTTACTATAGAATGTAATGTTAAATCAGTAAAAGTTGCTGTTACTAAGTATTCATTAGAAAAATTCGATACAAACGTTCAGTGGGTTAGTATGACGGGTGTTTCTATGAAGAATTTAGGAAGTGTAGGAATTCCTAAAACTATTGGATCATCTATTATTGATAGTTTTTTACTCAGTGCGGACCCTTCAGAATGTCTTAATGCTCCAGATGATGGACTTGGAGTTTTGGCCAGGGCTGAAATGTGTTTTTCTTTTAACGCTCCACCAGAATATACTGTAACGTATTTACAACCCTGTGCAAAGGCTGGAAATATTATATCGGATTGTCCTAATTCTACTCCATCTCCGGGAGGAATTCCATTTCCTCCTGGAAAAATCCCTCCTCAATCTCCAAATAAACCGTCCGAAAATATTCCATCTCCCAAGCTTCCCAAGCCTCCTAATTCCCCTGATTCAGACTCTCCATATTGCTATTATAATTATACTCCCACTAGTACTGCACCATCTAATACCATAATTACCTCTACGCCTTCTCCTTCTTTAATTTGCTTAAATTCTTCCTCTTCTTCCATTTTTTCATCATTTTTCTTTCCTCTTTTCTTTTCTTGTTGTTTTTCACTTACTTTTCTTTTCATGATATGAAATTTATTCTCTATATAGATTGTATTTAACACGACAATTAATATCAATTATTAAATTAAAGAAAGTATTAATCATGTAAGACAATTTTATGTTTTTAATTTTCGAGATGGGTTAATACCGGTGGATAATTTAAATTATGTGCACCTTCATTCATGTTACGTCAATCTATTTATAAAATAAATTTCCCAATTCCACGATAAAAGTATTTGCAAAGATTGCGTTTCAACTTTATTAAGAGTACTAATAAAGTTAATAGTACGAGACCATTAATACAAAATTACAAAATAAAAAAGAAAAACTGGCTTCCGTATCACGATAAAAGTAGGGTTCACCTATATGAACAATATAATTGATATATTAAAGATTTATATGGCGAAGATAATTTATTAAGATCATGTGACCACGAAATCAAGCGAAATTTGCGAAAAATAATAATGAAATTTATAAAAAATCCATTAACCATCAAAATAAATTTTCTTAAATTTACATTTAAAATGAAGGCGAAAGTTTGCTTTTATTATTCATTAAAAAATTTAATAAGAAATAATTTATAAAAATAACTTATAAAAAAAAAATAAGAAATTTTTTTTTTTGAAAAATATTTTCTAAATAAATTGTTATAATTTTTTACTTGTTTCACGGGATATTTTTTTTTATTCTATTTATTTTATTTTTATTTTTTTAATTCTATTTTTATCTTTTAGTTATTTTTAGTTATTTTAGTTATATAACCTGTAGTTGTTTTTAGTTGTTTATAGATTAGATAAAAAAGCGGAAGCTTAGCGATATAAAGTGGCTGAATATAAGTGGCTGTATAGACAAATGTGCCCAGATCGCCACAATTGGCCGGGAGACGATATTGGCCGGGAGACAATTATGTCCGAAGGACAGATTCGTCCTAAAAATTTAATATTATATAAAGGGCCGATGTTGGAGGATAAAAGTTCTAGTTCAGTTTAGAATTCGTCTAGTTTTATTGTTATAAGATAGATATCTGGATATTACAGAGCGCCGGTTGAGGTAGTAATATCGTATTCTTTTATTAACGAATAAACCTGTCGATTTGCTTCCGAATTATTGATACACGATTTATCACATTTTAGTTATCACATTGTTTATTATCGTTTTATTATCATTTATTATCACTTGTTAACTTTCGTTATACATTTGCTAATTAATTGTTATTATAAACTGAACATACTATCCGATTTACCCCTAATCCATTATATCATTAATTATCGTTTATAATCGCCCATTATCGTTTACCGTATAGACTTTCACTTTATCATCAGTTATATATCGTCATATTACTTTATCGTTCATCAACCGATCATTATATTTATTTCTGTTACTACCTACCAAACGACCAAACGTCATAAATCGGTGGTAACACTTGCTATGAACATCTTGATTTACTTCTTTCATTTCATTATAAAATTACAGTAATTTAATTATCGGTTCCCAAAGTATTTGAATAATGGTTTTTGGATATATGAACTTGCCAATTAATTATAACTATTAGCTTGCAAAATTTTGCAAGTTCAAATTTTTAAAATTTAAATTTACGTTATTAAACGGATTCGCAGGTTTTTATTTTATTTTTTTTAATTGTGTATATAATTTTTATTATACCGTACTGTACCTATTTATACTATTTATACGGTAATATTACTATAGCTTGACGTATCACGAATTTCACGAAATTAAATGGATTTTAACTCAATGGTCTAAGTTTAGTTTTTGCCCTTTAATTTATTGATTATTGGTCAGTCTAATAGGATCATGCAAATTTTGACGGACTGATATTTTTTGTTGATGGCTAAATAATTAATATTTTTCTTTTATTGGCTAAATATCAAATATATTTGCAGTTTAATTATACTTTTTATATACTCTTACTATAATAATAGCATGATCTTGCGTGANTTTTGTTGATGGCTAAATAATTTATATTTTTCTTTTATTGGCTAAATATCAAATATATTTGCAGTTTAATTATACTTTTTATATACTCTTACTATAATAATAGCATGATCTTGCGTGACTGACGCAATAATCTAGTGATTGGTTATGATGCCATAACCAATCACTATTATTTAATATGGCACGGATGATTTCCCGACAAGACCATTTGCCTGCCAAGTTTGGCCAGAGTTATGCAGAGTTATGCACGAGCACGTGATCAAACGGCCAGCGTTAGGCTGTCAGGAAAATGTCCTGTCGCCGTAAGCGAAAATATATATATACATTTTTTTGTTTGGGTACGGAACATTTCGCCAAAAGGACATTCCGTCGAAAAATAAGGCCAACATTATGCAGCATTATGAATAAATAACTCAGGCCAGAGATAATTTTTTGACGAAATGGCTTTCAGCAAAATGTCCCGATACCTTTTTTTTTAAGCGATAAAAACGGAAAAATGAACATATTTTGACAGTACTGTAAATTGAGTTCAATAATATATAATTTTTTGCGAACTTAAAATTAGTTTATTGAAATAAGTTTTTTTTTTATTTTTTTTTTAGTAATAAACTTGAAAATGAAATATTTATCATTTAATGTGTACTTTATTGTATTATTCGCTACAAAAGATATTATTTGGCGTTAACATGTGATTTGAATAAAATGCACATATCGAATGTAAACGTTCATTTTATTTGATTAAATTTTAGTAAGACAAAAAAAAGATTAATTTCCATCGCGCGGAATTGTCGTCTTTATATTTATTAGTTTTTATTATACATAGTCTAATCATGCGTATTATTTTTGACAATTGACACAAACAAAAATTATAGGTCATCCATGAAAAAAGTAATACACTATAATTATTTCAATCCGTACCCACTCGGTTCACGTGGATTTTTTTGACAGAAATAAAAAATGTACGTGAAAAAATGAAAATTTTAGCCGGTACTATACGCAAAAAAGGATATTAATAAGTCTATAACTCCTAACATAAAGTTCTTTTATGGACTGTTTTGTCGTCATAACTTTTCTTGTAATCTAAATTTAGTTGTTTTATTGAATTAATTGAAAATTCATGTTGTGTATCGTTAATTTCTTTGAACTCATTCAAAATTTTCCTTCTCTAGTTTGATTTTTTTTTTACCTAAATTAGTTTAAAGTTACTTTGTAAATAGTATTAATATTCATTGTGTTTATACCAAAACCAGCATTTTTTCCTTTCATTACATCATTGTTTCACGATTTTTCTTTTATAGAACAATCATGCTATAATAATCAGGATGATCCTTACAATTTTTTTTCCTTCTATGTAACTGGATCGCCTAGACGCTTTAATGAAATTCGTTTGTATGACGGATTTATTTAACGGAGTATACTTTTGATAATGAAGTTATATTGCATTACTATTGCTAATGAAATTATTTGTGATTGCATATTCCTAATAAAGCGTACTATAAAAATCATTTCATTTTATCGATTGTAAACTTTCCAATTTGATTGATTAATATGGATTATCTATACATGTTTGTATGACGGACCAAATAATACAATTATTTGTAATATTTTTTTTGCAAATAATACAATTACTTCGTAATATTATTTTTGCAAATAATTGTGTAAAAAATATAAATATCATAAATTTTTTCCATTGAATTATTTTCATTGAATTATTTTCCTTTGAAATATTTTCAAAAATTTTTTCCTTCGAAAATATCGTCAAAAATTTTTGGTACTTTTTGCAATTATCCCGGGGAGTCTACGTTTGCTATATATGATCTCGACTAGCTACACGCGAGCTATTTCTTGACCAGCTACTTCGCTTACCCAATCAACAGATTCGACTATAATATGATTATTTGTAATATTTTGTAAAAAATATATTATTTATATAAATATAATTAAAAATTTTATCCCCATGGAATCTTCTCATTTACTGAACTAGATAATCGTATCTAACAATGTGTTATGGAGATGGTCCGTTTGTATGGAAAGGTTTAAAGATGATGGCCCGTTACAACTATGCGAAAGTCCCCATATGGGCTATACCGAGAATACGTTACCATAGTATGGATGAAGGATGAGTTGAGTATTGAGGCGTCATGGTTACAGGAAGTATACCAAGAAAGTATTTTATGCATGTTGTATATTTTACTCTGAATAGATTATTGAACTATCCATTGGTTTCCCCTAACGTTCATTCAAGACTAAACTGTATTGACAGAATGGATGTGACCTAACTTACTTTTTTAGGTTTTTAGGATTATCGTTAACTGCAATGGAATAATGGATGACTTGAGTACAGACGGTCAAGCGCCAAAATTAACACGTGATGGATATTAAATTGTTAATATTAAATTAAACAATGAATACAATGAAATTGTTAATATTAATATATTAACAAAATACTCATATCAATATGCTATATATAGAATAAGATGAAAGAACCATTCTTATAGAATCAAAATGCCTTCTATTATAAGAGAAGATACTATCAAGGCGCTTTCATGTATGTTTATAGACCAAATAAAGAAAATCATAGAAAAAAAATTTTCATTCATCTATTTCTATATTACTTTCATATTTTTGATTTTTCATTGTACGAAAATAAACAATAAAAATTCTTAAAACCTCAATAGTGAAATAATTGATTGTAAAAATTTCTTCTATACACGAAATGATTGATTAATTCCCTTTCATAGTAAAATATCAAACAATGTTATTTCTTTTTTAAAAATACTCTTTATAGAGAATTTTAGAATCAAAAATGGAAATTTTGACAAAGGTGTTACGTCACTGTTACGTCACTTATGAGTTTATTTATTTAACACTTGGCAGAATTATATCCTATAAAAGAGTCAAATTTTATCAAGCCCTAAAAAAAAAAACTGAAATCAAATTTACAACTGAAATAAATCTGTAAAGTATATCGGTTTAGAATATAAAATATACAAATTCAAAACTTCGTTCAAAAATGGAACCTAACAATTTTGATAACATCAATAATGGTTATTATAATTTACAACCGCCAACTGCGCAAAATATGCAAAATATTCA